CATTCTGTATATGTGTAGACTTCACATAACACGTGATCAATAAAGCTGTTAAGTTGATTTCCTTCTAGCTGCCTTCATTTCTTAGTTATTATCGAGTAGATAGTGCTTGTTCTATCCAGGAGAAAAAATAGGATGAGGATTTTGCAGCAATGCTGCACCTGGTGCAAGGATGTCGAAAGCAATGTCCTTCGGTGGTTGTTTAGGTGATGTTTAGACGTTACGGTCTCACCAATGTTGGATCGAGAATGACCAGTCATGTGGGTAGCGCTGGTTGAGCTAGGTAAATGCGATATTTCTTGTGAACTAAGGAAAGCTAGATTTCGTCAGTCTGGAATGTAGTCTTCAGGAGTAAGCAGTTTGAAAGAGAGAATCCAGTAAATGCAACAGTCAATCATTCCATAAAACACACTGTGTTTATGTTTAACATTTGTTGTAATAAGCATTGTTTATTCTGCAGTTTACTTTATGTCCAGTCTTGTTATTCATTCAATATCACGACTCGGTTACTCAGAGAATTAGCACTACTTCATAACTGATATCTTGATCGAATCTCCTGTTATTAAGCAGACATATCCCATCGCTCGAACGTTAATTTGGTTTTACCTGAATATATCATACAATTATGACCTATAATAGACAATGTCAGAGATTTTCTTTAAAATCTTTAACCTTCTTCTTTTGTGTTGGTGAACTTTAGCTTTCTAACTGACCCTTCAGCACCAGAAAGAACACCAGATCATTCTTTGTCTCTTACGTCGTGAACACTCATTTTGCTATAAATCGTCACCCTTCAAAACAACTTTTTACCAAACTTAATGGTTCTAAAAATATTAGTTTCCATTCTGACTTGAACAATTATTTGAAAAGTTCACTCAAAGAAAGAAACATAATCATTATAAGCCACTTGACACCATGGTCTCATAGACCTGCATGCCTACTTTGCTAGCTCTGCGTTTTGATTAGTTCGGTCTCAGTAATAGTAATGTTTTTTTGTTTTTTTTCATATTTATGTTTTATTTGTTTATCTTCTATAATTCCGTGGTCAAACTAAATGTTTTGATATAATTTGTTTCCTAATTGTTTCAAAATGGTCAATTTGGCTTATGTTTGGTAAAATTTGGCAGTTTGTAGTATAGTTGTATCTAGGATAAAGTTAATGTAAAATTAGAGGAGCATTTAAATCAAGTTGTCATCAAACATTTTCATTAAGGTTTCAAAAT